GAAGAAGAGGTATATATGGACATTCCTCCGGGTTTTGCGGATCATCAAACAGAAGGCAAAGTATGCATACTTCGGAAGTCATTATATGGTCTTAAACAGTCTCCAAGGGCTTGGTTTGAGAGATTCACTTAGGCTATGATTAAATATGGCTTCAAACAGAGTCAGGCAGATCACACCTTGTTTGTGAAACATTCCTCACACGGTAAGACTACAGCATTTATTGTTTATGTAGATGACATAGTTCTTACAGGCAATGATAGTGGGGAAATACGTCTGTTGAAGAAATATTTAGCCGACGAGTTTGAAATCAAAGACTTGGGAAGCTTGAAGTATTTTTTGGGAATTGAAGTTGCTCGTTCTAAGGATGGGATATTTATTTCACAGAGAAAATATGTGCTTGACCTGTTGAAGGAAACTGGGATGCTTGGCTGCAAGGCATGTGCCACCCCACTGGAACCCAATCAGAAATTGGGGGATGATGAAGGAGGAGAAGTTGTGGATAGGGGAGCTATCAACGATTAGTGGGTAAACTCATTTACCTATCTCACTCCCGTCCTGATATTGCTGTTGCTGTCAGTGTAGTTAGTCAGTTTATGCATGCTCCTCATCAGATTCACTTTGAGGCTGTCATGAGAATCTTGAGGTATTTTAAGTCTGCTCCTGGTAAGGGTCTGTATTTTTCAAAGTATGATCATCTTCGTGTAGAAGCCTATACAGATGCTGACTGGGCTGGGTCAGTAACTGATAGGAGATCAACTTCAAGGTATTGCACATTTGTTGGCGGCAACCTAGTTACTTGGAGGAGTAAGAAACAGAATGTGGTTGCCAGGTCAAGTGCAGAAGCTGAGTTTAGAGCTATGGCACAAGGTGTGTGTGAACTTTTATGGATCAAATTATTGTTGCGTGATCTAGGTATTGATCAGACGGACTCCATGCGGTTATACTGTGATAATAAAGCCGCCATCAACATCGCTCACAATCCAGTTCAACATAACAGGACAAAACATGTTGAGATTGATCGCCACTTCATTAAGGAGAAAATCACTAGTGGTACCATTTGTACTCCTTTTGTCCAGTCTGGTGAACAACTTGCTGACATTCTCACCAAGGGGATTGGGAATAAACCATTTCATGACATATTAGGCAAGCTGGGCATGAGAGATATCTTCGCACCAGCTTGAGGGGGAGTGTTAGCATATTATATTAGCCGAAAGTGTTAGCTTATTATATTAGCCGAAAGTTACACTAGGGTCTGTAATCATTTTATGCCCTCAGGGATCATCTTGTAATTGCCTTTCTTGTAAACCCTAATCTTCATTTATAAATAGGGGGTGATATTCTATCATACCCTAAGCTGGTTACCCAAGCTTCATTCCAAAACCCTAAGAACCCTAACCCTATCCCTATCTAGCCAACCCTTCTCCCCTCTACAACAATTGTTGCCGCATCTTCCTCCTTGTCCTTCATAACATCGCAATTGTACCATTTTCCCTCCCTAGCCATCAACGTTGTCCTCACTCCCCATTTCTTGTAATAACCAAATCATTCGGTTCACATTGCAAGAAAATTCAACATCAGTGGCATCTCATAAACGGCGCTATAGGCTTGAAAAACGCCATAATAGGTTATAGCAATGTTTATTTTTTTCATCATTAATGCGAGCGTCATCATAGCTTTACGAAGTTTTTAAAACGTCGCTAATACTTATAGGCAACATTTTTTTAAACGTTGCAATAGCTTAACACCTGTTAATTTTATTTCTGTCACAAATAACATATTATCTCACGATTACATCATTTAACTATATTTTTTACAAAAACGACATGTTTTCATTTTTTTTTCTTTTTTAGGTTTGATGTCATGATTACGTCATTTAGCAACATCTTTTTACAAAAACGCCATTTATTTATTTATTTTTGAGAAAGAACACAGGGCCACATTATATCAAAATTGAACACTTCAAAATAAAGCAAAGAGATAGCACAATACATCAAAATTGAAGTATTGAGGCAGAAAGAAAAATTTTAAATCCAAATATTAGAACAAGATGTAGAAGGATAATGCCAAGCGTTGGCTCAATTACTAAAACAACCAATTGGATGAATTGACAAAACATCATAAATGACCCAAAAATGAATCGGCAACTACCCCTCATAAGGCAATGAGAGAATATAATTACAAATGTCAAAGAAAGTCTCGGTGTGAATTTTTTAGTTGCTCATAGCTCCGACCCTACTTTCAGTAATAGCCAACTCTCAATTCTGTCTGTGTTGGTCACTGGGCGTCATTGCCCTTTCCTAGAAATATTAGCCGACCTACGTTACCCAGACAAAGACAAATCCATAAAACTTGCAAGCAAGAACCCTCTATTAACTTGTAAGCTGTCCTAAACAAACAAACAAACTGATGAAACTTCTATTATCTAGAAATTTATATGAGAAACTGCTAAAAAAATGTTATGGCAATGAAATCCACTTGCCTTCATGACAAATCACTTTTAAGCAAAATAAAAAGAAAAGCATAAAAAGATTTCTGAAAATTACTCTAACAACGTAAAGCATAAAAATGTTATGGTTTGAAGTCCTTAATGCCCAATGCATATAACAACCAAAATTCTGTCAAACAATCAACCTCAATGACTACTCCATAAAGATATAAACATTGAAATTCCAAGGTTTTATACTGTCTAGTCAAACTAAACCAAACCCCATACAGTTCAGCATGGTATATTCTCAACACCTAGGAGGCACAGGTGCTAGTACAGATACGGGGTGCGGGTATGTTGATACAGCAAATTCTTTAAAAAGTAGGGTATGTGTATGGCTAGGGTACGCCAATTTTTTTATTTATTTTTTTTTTTTTACCTAAACATCTAACATACAAATTGATGTTTAATATCATAATTAAAAAGAGAAATTACAAAACCAAATAAATCATTCTTCAACAATGCCAACAATACTAAAGTAAGTCCATGAGCTATTTGAATGTCATCACATGGAATAAATTAGAAAAAAGAGTTTCATGCCAAAAACAAACTAAACAAAAATAAAATATAACTACATCAACTTGTCTAAAAAAAGTTTTATAATTCTTTCTTTTTCTTTTTTGATTGTCTCAAACAAGATGCAAAATAAAGCAAAGCCATGACTCATACATAAAGGGTGTTGGAAACAAATTACCTGATAATTTTCGAAGAAAGAAGAATAATAAAGGTTACAACAAATTCTAGTAGCTGCACACAAAAAAATGAAAATGCATATATAAAACAGATCAAAAAAGAAGGAGAATCGAAGAAGATGGAGAATCAAAGAAGAACAGATCGAAAAAGAAGCAGAAGGAAAGAAGAGGGAGAATTGAGGAAGAAGAGGGAGAATCGAGGAAACATAGATCGAGTACCTACCTCTATGAAAAATTGCTGCGAAAAGTTGAAGAATAGTTGAAAATCGAATCACAGTTGCTATTGAAAAACCGAAGAACAGCTAAAAAATCGAACCAATGTTGCTACTGAAAAATCAAAGCCGTCTTCGTCTTCTTCGTAGTCAAAGAGTTGCTGCTGGTTGCGTATAACATAAACCTAATTTGTTTATGTTTTGATTATTACAAAATGACCCCCAAATTTATAATTTTTTCTTAATTACCCACAAAATTTGCTCCAGTACCCTTCATATATAAGAAAATTTAAATTTTCAACCCTGCCATACCCACAACGTACCCAAACGTATTTGTCATACGTACCCAGCATATATTCACCACACCCAGTACATGTGCATCTGTACCAGTACGAGTACCCACACCCGATAAGTACTCGATACTCATACGACACCATTTTTGAAGTACCCATGCTTCATAGCTCAGCAACCAAATAGTGCATTAAGCAAGACTACTAGATCCAACTCAACAACCATAAAAGATCAACAAATTACACATGCCCACAAAACATTCATCAGAACAAGCTCAGTGAAGATCCACAGTAACATTACAGAGATTTAGAGAGAGAGAGAGACCTCAGTAACACTTCAATAAGAAGAAGTGTCCAATCTACATCTTTTTCTTCCCGTTCTTTGATATTTGAGCATGCATTTAAAGAAGAAAAACAAGTAACATGAATAAAATGTCATATTGAAAATTTCATAATCAACTATTTACTCATTTACAGAGATTTAGTCCTTTTAACATAGAAGGCTTTGTCTTAACAAGTACAGAATCTCTCTCAACTTATAAATATAAGAAATCCCAAACATTAATTAGTACTCCTTAAACAAAGATTAATGACCAAGCAACTTGAAGCCACTATAGATGAATTTAAAACTAAAAAAAGAAATCAATCACATTGCAGTCACTATTACCTCCCCAAGGCCAAGTCCAACCACATATGTGGTTATTAACCTAGTAGTCACACTGCTGCAGAGAGAATAAACAACAAAGAAATCAGCCTCTTGTTTTTTTTTTACTATGATATTAATAACCAAGAGAGTAACTTGATAAGATTCTTACAACATATTTTTCTTCTCCACATTGCCAAATTACAGAGGATCTCAAGCTGAAAGAAAAATAGACATTGAAACAAAATATGAGCAAGTACACAATACAATAAAAACCAACCATGTTCATCATGTTCAGTAAAGCATTAATAGAAATGATATTCCCACTCTCTTTTAAACTTTTCACTCTAATTTTTGTCTTTCAGCCTCTCACAAGTGGAGTGTGAATATCATTGCTCTACCTCATATTCAATAATAAAATAAAATAAAAAATCAAACATTGTATATCTAACAATCATGAATACTGTCAAGAATATAGATGTCCAGAACAAATACACCTCAAACATATGACCTTTTTTTTATTTGAATGGCCATCTTCATACTTCGTATTTTATAAAATTTCAACAAATATATTTCTCAAATTTGATATTTTGTTAACCATCTCATCAAAATCAAATTTTGATATGAACCACAAATCTAAAATAACATTCAGCTTGCTTGTTTTCATTTTTCAAAAAACACTTTTCAGAAAATTCTACTTTCATATTTTTCGTGTTTTTTTGTTTTTACTGAATTTTTTAAAATATTTTAAGCAATTTTTTTACTTTTTAGACACACCTAACATAAATACACTTAAAAAATAAAAATAAAAAAAATTGTAAAAAAAAATCATTTAAAAATTCACTAAATACCAAAAATACAAAAAAAAATACAAGAGTTCAGTACATTTTATTTTTATTTTTATTTTTATTTTTATGTATTTATTAATTTTTAAAAATATTTTTTCACAAATTTTTTACTTTTTAGATACATCTAAATAAGGTGCATCTAAAAAAGTAAAAAAAATGTTTAAAATTTTAAAAATATTCATTAAAAACAAAAAAATACGAAAACCAAAAAACTCAATTTTTAAAAAACTTTAATCCAGATAACTCAAACCAAACACACTGATTTCAATTCTGAACTGAAACATGATATAAACTCCCAAACAGGAATTCTATCAAAATATACTGGTGACAAGCATAAAGCATATTAAATGGACTGCAGAAGCAACAAGATTAAATAGAATAAACTTCAAGCCATCAAAGGGTGTCTTTTCCCCCTTTTTTGATGGACCATGATCTAGGTAACTCAACAAAAAATAAAAAATAACCAAGAGTTGAATGACCAATGTTAGAAACCACAAAACACTTTAAGATGCAGAATGATCTTTTTAAGATAATATCTCACAGCTTCACAAAATCAAAAGCCAGATCATCTACATATAGTTGGTTGATATCGGTGTAAATCACAATTTTTTCTTTACAAGCAATTGCAAGAAGTGAAAAATAGTAGTTTATCAATTTACATGGGAACTACACTGAAATGATTATTAGGAGAGTTAGAAAGCAAGAAAATGCCAGAATGAGATTCCTGAAAAAGGCAAAATAATGGACTAAAGAGAGACAGAGCAGATCTGATATTACCATATTAGCTGATCGGGGGGAGAGAGAAAATAGATCTGATCAAAGAGAGAGCAGATCCGAGAAAAAGATCCACATCTCTTCATCGTTGAGCTTCTACTCACCGTTTCCAACGATCCACATCCAACGCCGCCTGCTTGTCCTGTACATGATCAGAGACACTAACACTGCACTTGAAGATCCAAGCCTCGATTTCTCTCTCTTTCTAAAGTCACACCTCTGTTCAATCAAAATATAAATTTTTTTGTTTTTAATTGATTTGAATTCCCTACAAGTGCAACTACCTTTAAAAGAAATAAAAAATAATTTAATAAGCTTATTTTAACGGCTTGGCGTTAACCCATTGTTTTCTAATAGCGGGTATAGTTTAATTTTCGAGAACTTTACCCGGAGGCGTTAGTATGTGAATTTATTATTTAATAGATTTTATAATAATTAATGATATTTTTTTTATTAAATATTATGAAAATATGTTACTAGTTATCAATTTTTAGTGTTAGTTTAAAATTTTTATCATAAAAAATGTCATTATTTATTTAAAATTTTTATCACAAAAAATGTCATTATTTATAAGTTTTAGTGACAATTTAAAAAAAAAGTCGTCATAAAAAAAGTCACCAATTTTTAATTTAAAACGATTTGAAAAAATTTTCACAAAAAAATGTTATTGATTGTAAATTTTAATGATAATTTATAAAAATCGTGATTAAAAAAAAGCACTAATTATCAATTTTTAACGGCATATGTAAAAAATCGTCACAAAAAAATTATTTTTAGTGACAATTTATTAAGACTTATTTTTAATTGAATTTAATGGGAATTAAGTCCCAACAATTAGAAAATTGATAATTTACCCTTAATTTTTTTGGTATTTAAAAAATGTCATAAAAAAAGTCACTGTATCCCGTTTTTCTAGTCGCTTCAGTTTGATCTCACCCAGAAATGATAACAATAATAATAATTCTCTTTTAACTTTACATCTTGTTTGTTGCCTTGGCCCAGCTCTTGGGCTATGAGAATTTTTTGTTTTAGTGCTCGGCCTTTGATTTGTATGCTTTACTTTGATCCCTTGCTCAACTATTTGAGTGTACTAAGGTAATATCTAGGGGTGAGCGTGGTTCGATTTAAGTATAAACCAAGAACCAAGTTATTATTTACAGTTTTATAAAGTTTGAAATTAAACCAAACTATAAAAATCTTAAGCTAAACTGAACTAATAAAATGCAGTTTGGTTCCATTTGGAACAAAAAAAATTTAGCAACATGTCATCACTCAGAACATGATCTCAAAATATTGCTCACAACCTATACAAGCACCAACAATATGTCATCATTTTTCAAACAAGAGTTGTTTAGATAATTGTTTAAAATTATTTATACCACTATATTGGAACACACTAGTAGGTGCAGATAGTTAACTAATTGATACTTGAATGTTTATGACAAATTATGAGAAAAACTGTTCAGAGTAGGCACTTATTAATTATAATTTCAAAATTCTTTTCTCATGATCAATAATAATAGATAATAATTTTTCTTGATTAATATTAAGCACAAAATCTTAAATATTTAGGCCTCGTTTGGCAAGAGGCTATTTTAGCCAATTAGCCAAAAAGTTACTAAATTAGCCAAAAAGCCAACAACCCATACCAAAAAGTCAAAGATTCTCTTTTCTCTCTACTTTTTGCACATCTTTTCGTAATTAGTTAAAAAGTCATCCCAAACATACAAGTTTTTTTTACCTACCTTTTTAGCCAAATAGCCAAAAAGTTACTAAATTAGCTTGTTCCCAAACGAGGCCTTAATATAAAAATTTTATTTTTTTATTTTTTTTTACAATTAACCATGTGAAAGATTAGAATTGAAAATATAATATTACTTGTAAATAGTGTATTATAGGCAATGCAAAATAATCTTATAAGTCTTATGATAGATTATATGATAATATACAAATAATAGTGATACCACATCATTATCGATATATGGTGTCACTAATTAATGGTAAAATATCACATGGAGGGTTAATTTCACTTGTCAAATATAATTAACAATTCAATAATTCCACATTTTCATAGTAGGGCTAACTATGTTTACATTTAAATGATGATGTGGTATCACTATTGCACTAAAAATTTTTTACAAAATTTTCATACATAATAATGTGACTTTTTGTAGTTTCTTCATTTTTAATCAAAACAACTATATTTTTGTAATTAAAAAAGGAGAATTTTTTTTAAGATCCTTGATATCAAGATTTTATAAGATAAAAGGCATAACATTTTCATAGTAGTTGAGATCCCTCAACATTTTCACAGAAAAATTTCAATTTTCATAGAAAAATTTTAATTTTTTTTTTTTGATTTTACAAAGAAATTTTGAAATTTCTCTAATATGATCATAGATAAATTTCATCGAGAGACTTTAGCTAATAAAAAAATATATATTAGACTTCTCCTATTACCCAAAGTTGGAAAAAGATATTTCACTAATTTTCCCATTAAAAAAATGCCATCAAGAAATCATTCTAAATGTTATTTCTACATAAATTTTTTATTTGTTAATTATTTTCCTTATATACAAAACAAAACAAAAAATGCATAATTGAGGGGGGAATGTGCCCCCCGGACCTGTAACGCCCTTAAAATAATACATAAAACCCACCATTCAACCAACAATAGCATGCTTAGACATAAGAGAATAAAGCATAAATATATCCCATCAGAATAGTCTTTACAAAAGTGTATTACATGTTGACATCAAAAGTAAATGCCCTATAGGCTTACAACTTTCCAAGTCAACACTTGGTTACAAAAAAAAAAAGGTACTAACTCTATACAAAGAAAGCTCTTGGCTTGATATACATGCAATACATCCAAAAACACAAAACAGTCCAACAGTCCCAAGCCTCCCAAGCTATGTCCTTGGAGGTGGCATGCTACCTGTACCTGAAAATGATGTCCCATATAGGGTGAGCCAACGCCCAGTAGAGATATGCTAAACACAATATGAGCAGTAACTAAGACATTAGCAATTTATAAATGTTTGACTCTCATAAACCACTTCATACACCACTTTCATTACATGACAATTGTGTACGTGTTTCATTTCATTTTTCATTCCTTATCAAATTCACAATTCACAACTACGGCTCAGAACCTGGCCAACAATTCACATGAGATAGTGACTCATATTAAACATTTCCCATTTCACAATAGATAAGCATATAAGCTATATCAACATTTCAACAGATAAGCATATGAGCTATATCAACACTTCCATAGATAAGCATATAAGCTATATCAACACTTCCATAGATAAGCATATGAGCTGTATCAACACATTAACTGATAAGCATATGAGCTGTATCAACGGAGTCCATCCCCTATCTCCTCCCCAACAATATCCGGTTTAGAGGTTCATCCCCTATCTTCCCCTAAACCGTAGAGTGCATCCCCTATCTTCTCTCTCACACACACAACTTATACACACAAAGGTCATATACATAATCAATCAATACATAAACTTAATGTATTCTTTCAACCGTCATACTCTATGACACATCCAATTGATTAGTTTTAGTTTGCCTAATCATCATGCATTGTCTACAACAATCAAAACTATCCTCCACCAATAGCCCAAAGCAATTATTTCTAAACAGATAATAAAAGCGCCAATAGATAAAATATCCATATTTCCAAAAGTGAGCGATTAATAAATCCAACTTCACTAATTCATCTCATAATGAGCCAATTTCATTATATTCAACTCAATTCCATACTTTCTCAACGAATGTCATTAATTACACTAATGACCCAAATATACCCAAACATGGCATAATTCCCCTTATTCTCAATATTGACTCCAAGAGTCCATATATATTACCAACAACATCAACAAACTCATTTTGACACCCAAATACATATTTATGGTCCAAAATAAATAAAACCCTCTTTTCCAAATTATACATTTGAAACCCTAGTTTCCAAAACCCAAAACCATTTATACAAAAACTCAATATCTAGGTCAAAACCCATAAGAGTGAGTAGGAATCCCTACCTCAAAAGATGAGACCCAACGAAGGAGATGACGAAAATGAAGATGCTCCAAATCCCAAAATTTTTGGATCAAAGTGTAGCCCTCGACGATCAACA